TATATTTATTTTGTATATGTAAATTTACATTCTTTGTTCATATTTTACCTTTAAATTTATGTGTCCTTTTCCACTATATTTACATTCAGTATAATTTTGCTTATCAAATCCATTAGAAATCCACGACCTTCAAATTTCTATAACACACGCGAAACCTTGTCACCGCGCGTTAAAATACACAGTAAGAACTATATGCATTTTCAATGCTCTAGAAACACCAAAATGTAAAATGTTTTATTTCAATTTAATGAAAAACTACAACCCTGAAAAATTCACGTAGAAATCAACGTAATGTGCGTTAAGAATTAATTAGTCACTTTTTTAATCGCAATGTTTGTTTGCGTAATGTAACTTTGCAACGTCACTAAACGTCATCTTACGTCACAAACGGCTCTTACGTCTTTTAACCACGTTTGTTTTGAAGGGCGCTAATTTCACATTACATGTCGACGACATAAGCAATTATGAAGAAGGAAAATTAGAGAATGTAAATATAAGCATTGAATTCATATTTCTGTATTCAAATTGTCGGCACGGTGTGTTATGTGTTATAGGACCGAAGACAGCCAAAAATATGAATTCAATGCTTAAATATCCTCCTGTCTTCATGCGGCAAAAAATTATGCATACTATTAAAGTTATCTATTCACATTTGGTAAACTTTTAATTCGTATGTTCCGTTTAACAGGCCAATATTCCCGCGCCTCCTCCAGCACCACTGCTTCCGCCACCACCACCACACCTCCTCTCTTCCTCAGGCATAGACTCAGCTTCTACGTCATCATCATCTTCCAGTTATCTATTAAAACAGACATAATTATATTACTTTTCATGCAATGCATCCTCATATAAGTCATTAAACTATATAAATTTATTATTGATTTAAAATCTATATTTTTTATTAATAATCACTCGAGGTGAAGGTGGATTGTCATCCATCTCCCACTCTGTCTTCATCCTATTTATAGCGTCAGCCAACGGTTTTCTAATCCCATTAAGAAGGATTTATAACCTCTTCGTCTCTAAATGAGACACACTTTCCTCTTCTGTTATCTGTAAAATTTGAAATCATTTTATCATAAGATGTATTTTCAATTTCAAATATTATCATAAAACAAACACATTAAATTTGATGTTTCAATTAAATTAAATAGTGATTTTTACTTACCAGCGATGTGAATATAGATGTCCCCATTGAAAGGAGATAGGGATACCAATTTGTTGACAACAAAAGTGAAATTCACTTTCGTGAGTTGTCCTGTGATGTTATCTCTCAATGATCTTTGTTCAAATTCATCATGTTCATGATTCAGGCTTCTTTGGAGAAGTGAGAAAATATCCTAAACTGTTTAACTCTAAAAGGAGAAATGATTGATTGATTGTATATTGTTTTACATCCTCTCGAGAATTTTTCACTCAAATTGAGATGTAAAAGGAGAAATGAATTCACCAACCATTGAGAACTTACATCACCAGAAAAAAATCAATAACAGTAGTAACAGATTTCGAAATAGTGATGACATTCATAAACATACAAAAACTACAACCAATAAGAAACTTATTAAATAAGAAAGAGAGGGAAAAATGGAAAACACTTATATCATAAATTGGAACAAATTAACTGAGATTTTAAACAAATTAACTGAGATTTTGAACAAATTAACTGAGATATTACACAAATTAACTGAGATTTTGAACAACATATAGTTGTTCTTTCCATAAACCTAAAAGATTAACTCTTTGTTCTATTCGTGATAATGATGAAACTAGCTGGAATGAGAAAGAATGGTTGTTTGTGACAATTTACCTTATTAAACAACTAATGAGTCAGAAATAAACTAGAGAAAAAAATATTTTTGTGTGATTTTCGGATTTATTATTGTTCATTACATATCATTCGATTTATTCTGTGTTACGAAGTCATTTATTTCGATCGAGCATGGTCTTCATGAAATAAAAGTATATACATGTGATGATTTATGTTTGTGTGGATACAGGTGGTGCAGTGTTTAAATCTGAAAGTTTTAATTTATTTTTCTTAAAGTCCTTAGAATTTAACCCTCAAATTTTGTAACAATGATACATGTAATCAATATTAACTTTTTCATATTTTTATAAATGATAACTGGTTTTTAGTTTGAAAAGTTTATGGACAAGGACGCCACCATTATTTCCGCAACTTGGTCAGCTGATTCCTCCAAGCCTAGCCAGGACTTAAGTTCTCGAATGTCACCCTCTGAGAAAATCATCATTGAACCATGCACAACATCATTTTCTCTAATCATCATCAAGGTCAAGGTAATAAATTTGAAAATTCTGTGACTTTTGTTTCCGCTTGATATCTCACGAACCCTTTTCGCTTTTCCAATGAAATTTTACAGAACTCCTTGTGGCCTAAGTAAGATTAAAGCCCCTTATTGATTTTGGGGTCAAAATGTCAGTGTTCAAGGCCGTCAATTTATACTTTCTGTCTGTGTGCAACAGAATTTCATGGCCTCTGGTTTAAAACATGAATCTAATTTAATTGTGGCAAAGTTGTTGCATGAAACTCAGCAGACGTATAATGCCCATGGGCCCCTTGTTATTTTTTGAAAGATCTTTACAAACATAAAGACCCTTTTGATGTTTATTATGATTTGATGATTGATTTGATTGATTATGGAAATGAACTGAATAATCAGTTTGAACACTGCTTCAGCAGTTTTCACTGTATTAATCCTGTGAAACTTTGTTTAGCAAAATAAATGTTAAAAACCCTGACACCTAAAGCTCCTGGACCTAAAATGTTGATCTTTTTCGTGTTTTAGCTTTAATCCTGAAGTGAGGTACATGTGTGTTTCTATTGGAAACACTGACTTTGCATAATGAGGTACATGTGTGTTTATATTAGAAACACTGTCATTGCATTGTGGGGTACATGTGTGTTTATATTGGAAATTTTGAACTTAGCATAGTGAGGTACTAAATAAATGTTTGTTTATATAGGAAGCACTGGCTTGGCATAGTGAGATACATATTTGTTATGCCCCGCCATTAATATGGCCGGGGCATATAGTGTTTGTCATGTCCGTCTTCCGTCCTTCCGTCACACTTTGCCTTTAGCTCTGCTCAAAGCTAAGTTTCAAAGAAACCATCCAAGATATTTTCATCACACTTCATATGCTGAATAAGCTTATTCAATTTATTTAGTTATTTTTATTTATTTTAGAAAATGTGTATTTAGCATGTTTAGTATAAATTATTTTGCAGGAGTAGTGTTGGTGTATGGGATTGGGTTGGGAGTAGTTATTTTAGAATTAAAGGTTCTCTAAACATTGAAAAGATTGTTAATCAGAGTGTTCTTTCCCTTTATAAATAACAAGATGAATTATATTTATACTTCCATAAAGTAAATCTTTAAAAAATACTAGTATATGCTTTTCATATTTAATATATGAAGTTGCTTATCATTTATTATTGAGAAAACGGCAGCTAGGTCCCTTTTTTTAGAACATCGAATTTTACTCCTCACATAAAAACGTACTCTGCACGCAGCACAGTTCATGTTTTATATTCTGAAATTGAAAATTATTATACATTTTTGAATATAGGTGATGCATGTGTCTAGCTTCAATTTATATTTAATGCAACCAACATTGACTTGAGGAATTGATCAAGTTTAAAACAATATCGGTTTTGTTTGATTTTTACCTGACTATATATATATATATATAATAATATATATATATATATATATATATATATATATATATATATATATAATAAGTTTTCAAAATATTCGCGACTATCGTCTCCATCAATTAGACCCATGCCTTTTCACACATATCGAAGCGTTTTGATGATTAAAACTCATTTCACATTGTTTACTTTATATATTTCTATCTTTTCTATGCATATGGGTTTTCAGAAAGTTTGTGGACTAGCCCCATAAAGATGATAAAATAAAAACAACTTTAGGTACATCAATGAATTTTAAAATATCTAGATAGCATCATCTTTTGTATCTTAGGAATAAATCTTAAATCATATATTTTATTTTTAATTAAATTAGTAATGTTTTTGTTAACAATGGTATGTTCAGGCGATGCAACCACGAACCTCACTTTTTTCCGACCTCTGAGTTCTTTTGATAATAATATTTGACTTCATAAAAATCCTGTTAATTCAGGTTTGTGCCAGGACATAAAATATGAAATTTTCACTTCATGCTGGAATGTCTATGAAATTTTACATGGAATGTCCATACAAATGAGGCCTTGAAAATGACGTCAGAAGAGGGGAAGGGTTTCCTTTTCCAACATTCTTTAAAGTTTTGCCCTTGAAAAAATGGTATAGACCTTTAAAAAATTGTTTAAATTAGCTACAGAGAAATAATATGCATCCAGAGTACTTGTCTTTTAATGTCAAAATAGATTCAAAGTGAAAAGGGATGCACAGTTAATGTCGATTTGTAGTCAAGGTTTGAAAAATCAATCACGTCAAAAAATGACGTTGATCATCTGTTGTAGATATTAATCTCCCAAAATCAAAATATGCTGGCACAATCAAGGGAGTATCTCTTTCAATGTATAAATCCATTTGAAATATTATCATGATTATATTCATTGAAAGCCTCTTTTCATGATGACATTGTAAAGTCAGATATACAAGGCGGGTTTAAATCCTTACTCAGCTCCAGGAAATCTCATAAAAAAAGTGTATGAGGTAGAAGAAGCAGACATTGAAAAAAAAAACCATGACATTGTCAGACGTCATGAAAATAAACGATGGCAGAGCTGGGTGATCATACAACGTCATTTTTATTTTAAAATGATTTGGCAAATAATGAACGTATCAGGCTAAAATTTTCAACATTTGTTTATTTTTGTTGTTTTATGTTCCATATAAATTTTGAAAGCACAGACTACATAGTACCAATTTCAAAGCCTTAGTCCACAAACTTTTGTGTTTGATGGACTTGATAACCCCTCAAACTTGATAACCCCTTGTATTTATAAGTAGATTATTTAAATCTGATACTTTTTTAGATGGAGAATTCGAAGGTTTTTAAAGTATGGAACTCTGATCATTCGGAAGGGCGAATGTTAGCAGCTTGTAAATTTCAAGAATTAAAGAACAAAGGTTAGATTTTTTGAATGAATCTAAACTACATTCTAGTATTTATGACCATATTAGTCATAAATACAGATTCATCATTACTGAATTCCAAATTAGATTGATGTACAGTGTATAATTAATTAATGATAATAATATTTAATATATATACTATAGTACTGTTTGTTCTTTAAAGATGAGTCTTTTTCAATTTCAGTAATCGCCAAATTTGAATTAGGTGAAGAAAATACATGTCGGCTGGTGTTGAGGGATGGCTGTATTATTGATGATGAGGATGTTTTTCAGGCATTAGACAGCAATGAATTGTTTGTCTTAAAAGAGGGTGAAGTTTTACAAATCCCCCAACTTGGCCAATCATCATCTTCTCCATCAGCAGGGCCAGAAGCAGGTGTGATGTATTCCAAATATATAATATTTTTAAACTGTGTACAATGTACATGCTTTTCACCTTCCCAGGTCAAGAAACCCATGACTTAATAAGAAAGATCGATGCATGCATTCCTGAATGTATTTCTCAAGAATTCTCAATAACCTATTGCAGTTGATTCAAGATTGTTCAAAACATTATTCAATATCATGGGATATAAACGTATAAAAATTGGCATATTATAGAAATGGGTAATGATTATATAATTGAGTGGAAAGTGTTCAAATAAAAGATCTGAACTTACCATATATGGATTCAAATGTGACACAAACAAACAATATATTAACAAGCTTGCACAAAATACTTGTACCTGTATATATGTAGCAATTGAATTTGATAAAAGAAATATTCCTCCTTTATAATGCCTCAAGAGCTTAGAGCTGGAAATATAATTGCATATCAAAGATCCCTTTTTTAAAAGTGAACATGAAGATATATGTGAAGAAATTAAAAAGTGTCACTTGAAAATCAAACTTTTTACTTTTAATTTAAATTGCATAATGCACTTCTGTACATGTTGTATACAATGCACATGTATATTTTGTGTAGCAGATAAACCACTTAGAAAGATATTGATCATTATGTGATTAAGATTACTTTATTTGTAGGTATGCCTTCATCAAAGAGCGAGCAGTTGACTGAGCTTGTAAAGAGACTCCGCTCCAAGCAGACAAATGTAAGAATGTTATTAGACATATTACATCAACAGTGAAAATTTTTTCAGTTTTAAATATAAATGAAGCTTTCCTATTACAGTTCTGTATGACTACATGTAATTGTAAAAATGTAAATATATGAATTTTTGTAAATAAAGAGGATTCCAAAATATTTGATAGATAAAATATTAATATGAAAACTTTTCACACTTTACATTTGAAAGAGAAGGTGAAATGGGAGTAGACTTTTTTTATCTGAGTATCATGCGACAGCATTCTAACCATTAAATTGGATGCAAAAATTAAACCAGTGGCCATGAAATTCACAATTCGAAAGAGGCGCCATTGCTTATCAGAATTATACACAAAGCATGCTTATTTTGATTACTGAATTCTAAGTGAGAGATCAGAGTAATAAAGAGAAAATGTATTTCCACTTTTATTGAATTTCAGGGCTTCTTGTGTTTGGGCTGGTCCCAGTTGAGCTCCCCACCTCACAGGAACCATGGATCCTGGGGCCACATCATTCAATATTTTTTTTATTTTCTAAAGTTTTTTGTATTTTATCATGCTGTTAATAATACCAAAGTACAGATGACAAAGCTTTGAATTTTTTCAGACTATGTCCCCCCCCCACCCCTAGTACCTCTGGCAATATACCCAACAACAAAGGAAAAGATTTTGTTATGAATTCATGCATTTTCACAATATAAACATTAGAGCCCCACTCTAACACAAGAAGCCCTAACCCAGCGAACCTAAATAAAAAATTCTCAAAGAGGCATCCTTCCTCCTCAAAACTTTGTTTATAGTTCATCGCTTAAATATGCAGGTGCAGAAAAGACGAGCTGCAAATTTTGTTATATACTGGCACTCAGGGTCTTTGAGCTGGGAGGGATCTTTTTCGTTCATACACATAATGCGACAAGCGACCTTGGTTAACATAGTCTGAAGAGAAGAACCGAGAAGATTCAAATAAGCAAAATGATTGTTCTGAGATTTTGAAAACTACAGATGTTGTTAATACCCCTGACATTTAAACTTCTGCTACAACCGAGACAAACATTTGATAAATTTCCTGTTTAGAACTTTTAAAATGATCCAACAAGGATCGAGAACTACACTGGTTTTTGTGATGTTTATGCAGATCATGCGATGTTCTTTTTAGCTCACCTGAGCTAAAGGCTCAAGTGAGCTTTTCTGATCACAATCTGTCCGTTGTCCGTCGTCGTCGTCGTTGTAAACTTTTCACATTTTTATCTTCTTCTCAAGAACCACTGGGCCAATTTCAACCAAACTTGGCACAAAGTATCCTTGGGTAAAGGGGATTCAAGTTTGTTAAAAATTAATGGCATTTTAAAAAAATCTTCACCAGAACCGCTAGGCCAGGAAAGATGAAACTCATGTGGAAGCATCCTCAGGTAGTGTACATTCAAGTTTGTTCAAATCATAACCCCCGGGGCAAGGGTGGGGCTAAAATGGCCGACCCAAGTTTAACATAGGAATATATAGGAAAAATCTTTAAAAATCTTCTTCTCAAGAACCAAGGGACAGGAAAGATGAAACTCATGTGGAATCATCCTCAGGTAGTGTAGATTCAAATTTGTTCAAATCATGACCCCCGGGGCAAGGGTGGGGCTAAAATGGCCGACCCAAGTTTAACATAGGAATATATAGGAAAAATCTTTAAAAATCTTCTTCTCAAGAACCAAGGGACAGGAAAGATGAAACTCATGTGGAATCATCCTCAGGTAGTGTAGATTCAAATTTGTTCAAATCATGACCCCCGGGGCAAGGGTGGGGCAAAAATCGCCGACCCTAGTTTTACACAGGAATATATAGGAAAAATCTTTAAAAGTCTTCTTCTCAAGAACCACTGGGCCAGGAAAGATGAAACACATGTAGAATCATCCTCAGGTAGTGAAGGTTCAAGTTTGTTCAAATGATCAACCCCGGGGCAAGGGCGGGGCCAAAATGGCCAACCCAAGTTTAACAAAGGAATATATACGAAAAATATTTAAAAATCTTCTTCTAAAGAACAACTAGGCCAGGAAAGATGAAATTCATGTGGATTCATCCTGAGGAAGTGTAGATTCAAGTTTGTTCAAATCATAACCCCCGGGGCAAGGGTGGGGCCAAAATAGCCGACCCAAGTTTAACATAGGAATATATAGGAAAAATCTTTAAAAATCTTCTTCTCAAGAACCACTGGGACAGGAAAAATGAAATCATGTGGAACCATCCTCAGGTAGTGTAGGTTCAAGTTTGTTCAAATGATCACCCCCGGGGCAAGGGTGGGGCCAAAATGGCGAACCCAAGTTTAACATAGGAATATATAGGGAAAATCTTTAAATCTTGACTTCCAAGAATCACTAGAACAGGAAAGATGAAACTCAATGTGGAATCATTCTCAGATAGTGAAAATTCAAGTTTGTTCAAATCATGAGCCCCGGGGCAAGGGTGGGGCCAAAATGGCCGACCCAAGTTTAACATAGGAATATATACGAAAAATATTTAATAAAATCTTCTTCTCAAGAACCACTAAGCCCGGAAAGATGAAATTCATGTGGATTCATCCTGAGGTAGTGTAGATTCAAATTTGTTCAAATCATGACACCCGGGGCTACGGCGGGGCCAAAATGGCCAACCCAAGTTTTACGAAAAAATATATAGGAAAAATATTTAAACATCTTCTTCTCAAGAACCACTAGGCCAGGAAAGATGAAATTCATGTGGATTTATCCTGTGGTAGTGTAGATTCAAATTTGTTCAAATCATGACACCCGGGGCTAGGGCAGGGCCAAAATGGCCAACCCAAGTTTTACAAAGGAATATATAGGAAAAATCTTTCAAAATCTTCTTCTCCAGAACCACTAGGCCAGGAAAGATAAAACTTACGTGGAATCATCCTGAGGTAGTGTAGATTCATATTTGTTAAAATCATGACCCCCGGGGCTAGGGCGGGGCCGAAATGGCCGACCAATGTTTTACAAAGGAAGATATAGGAAAAATCTTTTATAAATTTTCTCAAATAGACAGGAAAGATAAAACCAGTGTGAAATTATCCTCAGGTAGTGTAGATTCAGGTTTGTTTAAATCATGACTCCTTCGGCTAGGGTGGGGCCAAAATGGCCGACCCAAGTTTTACACAGGGATATATTGGGAAACCAATATATTTAAAATCTTCTTTTCAAGTACTTCAAAGCCATGATTAGTGATATTTATATGGAATCATCCTAAGGTAGTGTAGATTCTAGTTCAAATCATGAACCCTTGGGGGTTAAAATTCAAGCCCCTTTCCCCCACCATCACCTCAGTAAACTTTCAGTTATGATATGTGCTTTTTCCTAGCCGATGTGCTCAGGTGAGCGCTGTGGCCCCTGGCCCTCTTGTTTAATTGTCATGTGTATGAGCTTTTACACACACATTTCTTGTAGATCCTGAGGAACAACATTTTTATTGAACTTATGAAGCTACGCAAGGCGCTGTGGCCCCTGGCCCTCTTGTCTAATTGTCATGTGTATGAGCTTTTACACACACATCTCTTGTAGATCCTGAGGAACAACATTTTTATTGAACTTATGAAGCTACGCAAGGCCAAGGAGGATAAGACTTGGAACTATTTGTTTTGCATTTCCGAGTCCTCAGTATCTCACATCTTCAAGATATGGCTCAATTTTATGTATTCTCAACTGAGAATCCAAGACCAGAGAAAGAGTCTTGTTAGCATAAGGAATAAGTAAATTTTATGTATAAGAAAAAAATACAGATATATATTATGTTAAAATAAAACAAGTAACATTTTTTGCTAATTGTAAAAATTCAAACAAATATATTTGTTTGCTTATGAAATTTTTTTTCAGTGACTTTCTATAAGCTAAAAAGACAGGTATACAGTGCATGTACATGTTTATTCAAAAAATAATTAATAAACGATGAAGTAAACAAATTACAAAAAAAGATAGCATACTACTGAATCATTTTTAAGTCCAATCCCGCACATGGGGTTCTCAATGACTTTCAGATCTTTTATTGTGGCATTTTTTTTTTCAGTATAAAACTGTGCTCCTTCTTGAAACTAGAGATGACTTTCACTTCACCTTGAATTATTATAATATTTAAAATATTTTTCCTACGCGGAATACAGTGTATAATCTTCGGCTCGGCTGTCTCATTACCCGAAGGTACCATATGTTTTTCTGAACTTTATTCTCCTTTGGAGAAAGATTGTATATTGTTTAACGTCCCTCTCGAGTCTTGGGAGAAAGAAGAAAACAACATATGAAAAGAAAGTATTCAATTGTCAAATGAAATGCGAGTCCCTTTAGAGGAATCCCTTTAGAGGAATTAACAATCTTATTGATTGATTGATTGTATATTGTTTAACATCCCTCTTGAGAATTTTGCACTCATATGGAGACGTGTTAACATGACAGACTGACAGTGTATTGTGTAAACACGTGTTAGTGAGACTGCGTTTTGTGTAAACTCATGTTAGCGTGACAGTGTGTTGTGTGAATTCATCTAAGCATGACAGTGTGTTGCGTGTACTTGTGTTAACAAGACAGTCTGTTGTATGAACTCATATTAGCGAGACTGCGTGTTGTGTAAAACTTGTGTTAGCAAGACAGCCTGTTGTGTGAACTTGTGTTTGCGAGACAACGTGTTTGTGAATTTGTGTTAGCATGATAGTGTTTTGTGTGAACTCGTGTTAGCCTGATATTTTGTTGTGTGAAATTGTATTAGCGTGACAGTGTGTTGTGTGTTAGTGTGACAACGTGTGGTGCGAACTTGTGTTAGTGCGAAAGTGTTTTTCAGTGTTGTGATGGCGAGCTGTGTGATAGCTTAATGGTGTCTTTTGTGTCGGTAAGTTGGCTCGCTTTTATGAAAGTGCTATTGAGCTTTAGCAAGTGGCCCTATCTGGACACGCCTTATTATAATTGATCAGTTCTCAGATATACAGTGAATTACCGGCATAATTGTCACCATGAAATTAGCATTTACAGTTGCAATTACCTAG